CCGCTCAAAGAGCTGGTTGCGAACCGGGTTCTTTACGGAAGGCGCGGGTGGTGCAAGGCAGAGGTTGAGTGGTCCTCCGCCCGGAGCCATTCCGAACAGAACCGCTGGATCGATGCTCCCGAGTCGCAACAGAGAAACGAGGAAGAGAGTGAGGGTGAGCAAGAGCCAGAGCTGCTGGGCAAAGTGCCCATGGCTCCGGAGATTTTCGAAAAAGAGATGAGCTCGGCAGCCTTCACCCATCGGTCTGATGCCGAAGAGGTGAAGAAGCTGCAGTTCAAGGTTTTCCTCCAGAAAGTTTCCGAGTGCGAAGAGGCGCTCTTGGGACTTCTGCCCGAAGGGCAGTTGGGGCAGCTGGCAAAGGCCCTGCCTTACTTCAAGAAGCTGAGGGTGCTGAGGCTCCGGGACTTTAAGGTGGGCCGAGCAGAGGCTGGGGAGTTCGCGAAGGCCGGGCTTTGCAGGTCCAAGGCAGCCTGTGAACGCTTTGCGTGCTTCGCAGGTCTAAGGCCGTTTGAGCCTGCGTGTGCACGCCAGGCGCTGGCATCGAACCAAACGATTCGCGAGCTCGAGATACGTGCCCTGAGACGGTTTGACCTTGGGCTTGGGCATGAATATGGTTTTCTGTGGGAGGCACGGGGGAGTCAACAGCTTTGGCTTGAAGTGAAGGCGGAAAGGTTCAGACAGGTTGGTGCTGCTGGATGAGGGTGGCTTTCCCGCGTGAGGCGATCGCTGAAGCTTTGAAGACCAACTCCACCCTCACCAGCATCAACCTCGAAGACAACCACATGGGCGAGGAAGGTGGCAAGGCACGGTAGCTTCAGGCGGAGCTGCTGGAGCAGGGTTTCTTTCCCGAGTGAGGCGATCTGCGAAGCGCTGAAGACCAATTCCACGCTCACCAGCATCAGCCTCAAAGACAACCACATCTACGATGAGGGTGCGCAGGCACGGTGGGTTTTAGCGAGGTCAGTGCTGCTGGAGCATGCTCGAGCAGGGTTTCTTTCCCGAGTGAGGCGATCTGCGAAGCGCTGCGGTGCAACTCCACCCTCACCAGCGTCAACCTCGAAGAAAATCAGATCGGCGTGGAGGGTGGCAAGGCCCGGTAGGGCTTCAGGCGGGTCAGCGCTGCTGGAGCAGGGTTGCGTTCCTGAGTGAGGCGATTGGCCAAGCATTGAAGACGAACTCCACCCTCACCAGCATCGACCTGAAGGACAACGGCATGGGTGAGGAGGGTGGGAAGGCCCGGTGGGCTTCAAAGACGTCAGTGCTGGTGCAAGGTTGCTTTCCCACGTGAGGCGATCGCCGAAGCATTGAGGAGCAACTCCACACTCACCAGGATTGAGCTCACTTTCAACGGTATCGGCAGTGAGGGTGGGAAGGCCTGGTTGGCTTCAGAGAGAGTGCTGCTGCAGCGGGGTATCTTTCCCGAGTGAGGCGATCTGCGAAGCGCTGAAGACCAACTCCACGCTCACCAGCATCAACCTCGCAGGCAACTTCATCAGCGAGCAGGCGGTGATGTGGCCCAGTCGTTCAAACTTGAGCTTGTTCTTCTCCTCGCCAGGTGCTTGCAAAGATTCAGAAGAGGTGCCGACTCGCGGATTCTCGGGCTCTCGCGTGCTGTGGGATGCCTTCACCCTGGAGAAGATTTCACCCAGACCAGGCGGTCTCTGTGATTGCCCCTGGGTGCATAGCTTGAACCCACATCTGGCAAGCTGAACCCATGACAACTTGTAGAGGGAGAGCCGGGCCCGATTGCAAGTTCTCAGCACTGTTGGCAGGCTGAAAGTACGGCCACGGTGCAGCTCTGAGTGATCTACATTGAACCGGCTCTGCAGCTAAGGCTCCGGAAGCTGCAAAGGCTTGGACGGGGCGAGTGCGCATAGAGGACCGGTGCCGAGCCCGCCATCAGACACCGGGGGAGCCGCGTGCCACTCACTCTGCAGGCCCTCACACAGAAATTGAAAGTACTCTGCAACCCCAGCGAGTTGAGCTTCGAGTTCGAGTGGTGTCCTCTCGACGTCGCACAGGTAAAGGCCCGGTTGGCTTCAAAGAGGTCAGTGCTGCCGCAGGGTCGCTTTCCCGCGCGAGGCGATCTGCGAAGCGTTAATGCGCAACTCCACAGTCACCAGCATCAACCTCACATGGTGCTCCATGGGCGATGAAGGTGCGGAGGCGCGGCAGGGCTTCAGGCGGTTTAGATTTGCTGGAGCAGGGTTTCTTTCCCGAGTGAGGCGATTTGCGTAGCGCTGAAGAGCAACTCCACACTCACCAGCATCGACCTTCGGCTCAACGACATGGGCAGTGAGGGCGGGAAGGCCCGGTTGGGCTTCAGGCGGGTCAGAGCTGCTGGAGCAGGGTTGCTTTCTCGAGTGAGGCGATTGGAGAAGCGTTGAAGACGAACTCCAAAGTCACCAGCATCAACCTCGCACGGAACGTCATCCGCGTGGAGGGTGGGAAGGCCCGGCGGGTTTCAGCGAGTTCAGTGCTGCTGGAGCAAGGTTTCTTTCCCGAGTGAGGCGATTGGCGAAGCGTTGAAGACGAACTCCACGCTCACCAGCATCGACCTCGAACAGAACAACATCCGCGATGAGGGTTGCAAGGCCTGCAGGGCTTGAGACGTGTCAGCGCTGCTGGAGCAGGGTTTCTTTCCCGAGTGAGGCGATTGGCAAAGCTTTGAAGACCAACTCCACGCTCACCAGCATCAACCTCGAACAGAACAACATCCGCGATGAGGGTTGCAAGGCCTGCAGGGCTTGAGACATGTCAGCGCTGCTGGAGCAGGGTTTCTTTCCCGCGTGAGGCGATCGCCGAAGCTTTGAAGACCAACTCCACACTCGCCAGCATCAACCTTCAACTCTGCGGCATCGGCCTTGAGGGTGCGGAGGCCCGGTGGTGCCAGGGATTGGCACAAGCAGAGGGGTCTGGTGGTTCCAAAGGTCCGCCAGCAGTAGCCACCCACTGTCGTGCCGTTTCCCTGCGAGGCGCTTGCCGAGGCTCTGAAGAGCAACAAAACTGTTCGCGAAATTAAGCTCTTCGGAAACGACATCCCCGAAGAGTGCGAGCAGGCCTGGGCGGTTCGCCGGGCTCGTGAGCGGTTTCCGAAGCCTTGCCCTCCATAGGCCCTCTGGGAAGCTACCGGGGGAAGGCCCGGCAGGGTCCCGGAGAGAGTGGAACTTCTGAGGGTGCGCTGGCACGGCGACTCCCGTCATGCACCACCTGCCCTACTGAGGCTGCGCTTTTTTCGACCTCCGTGAGGTGCTCGGGACCAGTGGGGCAAGCCCGCTTCCACATCATTCCCAATCCTAAACGAACGCTAAACATCCAAACCTTAAACCCGAGACCCCAAACCCCAAAAGCCTTAAATCCTAAACCCTGAACCCTAAACCCCATAAACCTTAAATCCCAAACCTCAAACCCCAAAAGCCCTAAATCGCACCCATTCTTGAACTCCCAGCATCAAACGCGGTCGAGGCCGCACACAGCCAATGCACCACCTGCCGTACTGAGGTTGAGCTTATTCCATGGTTGATCCTGATCCCGATCTTCATGAGGTGCTCGGGGCCAGTGGGGAAAGCCCGCTTCCACGCCATTCTCAACCCTAAACCGACCCTAATTTTAAACTCCTAAACCTTAAACCCTAAACTAAACCAAAAGCCCTAACCCTAAACCCCCTAAACCCTAGACCCCAAACCCCAAAAGCCCTAAATCGCACCCTCCGGCACAAGAAGCTCCCAGGATCAAACGTGGTCGAGGCCGCACGCAGCCAGAGAGCCCGCGCAGCGTTGCGGAGAAGATTTGCAGGGTATATATATATACATACATACATATATAAATTTTACATTATCGCATATTTCAGGAAATTACAGTCTGTTCGAGTCTAGTATGTAGATTATAGCATAAAGCTCTCCAAATGAGTCAAATCATCCATCGGGGGCACTTGTCCGGACCGCCGCCCTGCGGCAAGCCCTTATCGAGTCTGCAGCCCTGGACCTCGCAGGTGCGGTTTGAACGATTTGAAGAGTTTCGGGATTGCGGGTCTCGGTTGACGTTTGGTAGCTTTCATGCTTGAATTCAGCTATCTTCTGCGTAAGTATGGGGCATGAGGGGCCAGGGCAGTGCTTTTCGCAGCTCTCGGATCGTTCCATGTGGGCAGTTGTCTAAACTGGGGTCCCCTTTTAGGTCCCCAGTTTAGTACGGCACCCTTGTAAAAAGGACCCCTAAACCCGAAACCCTTAAACCCTAAGCTCTAAACCCTAAACTCTAAACCCCTAAACCCCTAAACCCTTACACCCCTAAACCCCTAAACCCTAAGCCCGAAACTCTAATTCAGAGAACTACTCCCACATGCGGAGTGTGCAGAGATGTCAGCGTCTGAGAGCCGAGCAGACCTGAAACGGGCCTCGTCCCTAAGGCCACTGCCAACTTTCACAGGTTTATAGGGCTTTTGGGGTTTAGGGTTTTGGGGTTTGGGGTTTGGAGTTTAGGGTTTAGGGTTCAGGGTGTTAGGATTCAGGGTTCAGGCTTCAGGTGTGGAGTTGAGGGTGGGAGACTCGAAACTGCCCCAAGGGTCCGAGAAATCCTGGCGTGAAGCCCCCCATAAGCTTCCCGAAGTGGGTTCTTGATAAGGGATTTATTTTTAAGTTACCATAATAAGGAAACCATATTATTTACGATGGATCCTTCGTATGGTAACTTAAATTAAATCCCCTAACCACAAGAACCCAGTAAGCTTTCCCAAGTGATGAGTGTTTGAAGCGGGAAGGATGCTCGGCTCGGAGACTGCTTTGATGTTCCGGGTGCCTCCGCTTCCTGCGTGCTTCCGACGCCGCTGCGACGCGCAATTGGCGCCTTCCGGAAAAGAGTTCGCGCCCAACTTGTGTGCAGTTTGGGCCTTAGCCCTAAACCCTAAACCCCAAACCCAGTTCTTTTCCCAGAGTTCCCGAGGCCCTGCAAGAAAAGCTTCCAGGCTCATGGATGATTCTCGGGGCTTTGGGCGCTACCGAAAGCTTCGGGTCCGACGAGGGTGGCTTCCGACCCGCGCCCAACAGAACCAAGCCACCAAAGCTCTGTCACAGGTTGTGGTTCAGGGTTTCGGGTCTACAGATGGGTTTAGGGTTTAGATGGGTTTAGGGTTTAGGGTTTGGCAGCACCAAGCCACAAAAGCTCTGTTGAAGGTCGTGCTTCAGGGTTTCGGGTCTAGATGGGAGATGGGTTTCGGGCTTAGGGTTTGGTCCGGAAGCCCCAGCAGAGTGCTGACTCACTCAAGCCCCAGAGGACCCCCAAAGCCGCAAAGATGCCTTCAAAACCCGACTGTGGCCCGGAAGGCCCTCCGGAAGCTTCCCCTGAAACCCTGATCTCCAAAAACCCCAAAGCTCAAGCCCAAAACCCTAAACCCTCAACTCCATAAACCCTAAACCCCAAAACCCCTAAAACTTAAGCCCTAAATCCTAAACCCTAAAACTTAAGCCGTACGTAAACCCTGTTAACCCCAAAACCCTAAACCAAAAGCCCTAAAACCTAAGCCCTTAGTTAACCCTATAACCCTAAACTTTTTCTGAACCTTCAACCCTAAACCCCAAACCCCAGAAGCCCTAAAACTTAACCCAAAACCCTAAACCCTAAACCTTTTGCTTTGGGGGGCCGGCGCCGGCGTAGTGGGCCTTCGCGCCAGGTCCTAGCGGCGACGGAGCAGAGGCTTTAGGGTTTTATTTGGGGTTTAGGGCTTTTGGGGGTCAGGGGTTTGGGGCATTTGGGGCTTGGGGTTCAAGGTTCAGGGTTTAGGGCTTTTGGTGTTTGGGGCTTAGGGTTTAGGCTTTGAGTTCTTTGGGCTTGGGACTGAGGGTTTAGGGTTTAGGGTTTGAGTGGATTGGGCTTGGGGTTGAGGGTTTAGGATGTAGGGTTCGAGTTCTTTGGGCTTGGGGTTGAGGGTTTAAGGGTTCGTTTGGGCTCAGGTTGAGGATAGTAGGTCGAGGATAGTAGCCAAGGTTGTGGCTTTAGGGGCTGTTTGGTGGTTTAAGGCTGCGGTCTGTGATGATGATTTGGGTTTGGAGTTCACTGCGCCCAGAAGATGATCAAGGATGTAAGAAGTCTGTGTAGACTCTCAATTAGGGTGGGTAGGGAGGTCTGGGAAGGCTTGCCGAGGTGCGCCGCAGGGTCTTGACTGCAATGAGGGCTGGTTCTCGGAGGTGTCTGTAGAGGATTTCGCTTCGGATCCCATTCGTAAGAGGCACATTGAGCATACACAATCATATTCGTACTCGTAAGAATCACTCGCATCGCATCATCGCCACACCAAAAATAATCAGTTTTCTATAGTTTTCGTGGTATGGAGCACAATCTCGGAGTTGTAGTGGGTATTGCGTCCAATGCGGTGTCGGTCCTGTGTGGTACAGGGCTCAAGCTGCACCACTGTTTGGGAAGCGGCGGGGTTGCACTTGCCCTGAGCTTTATGTCCAGTTACGGCCCGGCTGCCCAGAGCTAAGGAGAGAGAGAGAGCTGGCCGAAAGGCAGCCCAAATAGGCCTGGAACCTCCTGGCTTTCGGAACCTTTACAGGCTTGACTCCATCATCCGACGCTTATATTCCTAAACCCTAAACCCTCAACCCTCAGCCCTGAAACCTAAACCCTAAACCCTAAAACCCTAAACCCTAAACCCTAAAACCCTACAGCCCTTAACCCTAAAACCCTAAACCCTTAACCCTCAACCCTACATCCTCAACCCCAAACCCTAAACCCTAAAATCCTTAAAGCCCTTAAAAAAGAGCCCCTTTCCTTAAAGTATTACCCTAAACCCTAAACCCCTAAAGCCCTAAAACCCTTAAAAAGGAGCCCCTTCCTTAAAACGGAGCCCCTTGAAGCCGAGAGGCTCCTGGGCTTCGTCGGATCGGCCTCGTTGCCTCGGTGCGGTGAGGCGTCACTACGCGAGGGTTTAGGGTTTAGGGATCATAGGGTTTAGGGTTTATAGGGTTTAGGGTTTATAGGGTTTAGGGTTTATAGGGTTTAGGGATTTTAGGGATTTTAGGGACTGGGGTTTTTAGGGAGTAGGGATTACGGTTTAGGGTTTATAGGGTTAGGGGTTTAGGGTTTAGGGACTAGGGTTCAGGGTCACTGAGTCCTTGTTGGAGGCACTTTTACATTTTTTGTTATGACCAAAACCTAATCATAAGGGTTTTAGGGCTCTAGGGTTTTAGGGGTTTAGGGGTTTTAGGGTTTAGGCTTTAGGGTTTTGGGGTTTAGGGTTTAGGGTTTAGGGGTTTGGGTGTTTAGGGATGTTTAAACCTGATCATGTTTTTACTCTAGCCCCAACAGGGAACCAGGTAACTACATGAGGCATGAAGAATCTGTTTCGCTTTTTTGGCATGGCCCCTTCAATTAGAAGGGCCTTAGTATCATTTTTTGCGAAGGTTTCAAGGCCAACCTAGAGAATAGAGTTTCAGGCGAAGGTATATACTAGTACATACTCCTTAAATTACAGGGGGTGGGGGCTCTGGCAGTACCACCAGGCCCTTGACATTAGACCTTTAAACCCCTAAGCCCTCAACACTAAACCCTAAACCCTCAACACTAAACCCTAAAACCCTAAACTCTAGACCCTAAAACCCTAAACCCTAAACTTTGCCCTAAACCCTAAACCCCTAAACCCTAAAACCCTAAAACCCGAAACCCTAAACCCCAAACCCCTCAACCCTCAACCCTGAACCCTGTTTTACCGGAAACCTGGGGGATCCTCGGAGCTTCAGCAGCCCCGCCACCATTTCCTCAGCAGCTGGCAGAGCCCCTTCCGCGATGCGAAAAATAAGCCAGCGCTCTCCTCCGGAACCCCCCCGAAAGCTCCCGAGACTCCTCTTCACAGCCCTGAAAAAAGCCCATAAGGCCTTAAAGTAAACTCATAGATTTTGAGGCCTTAAAGTAAATACCTCCTCTTCACGGTCGTCTTCTCGCTTTCCCTGATGCCTTTGTTCTATCCGTGTTGGTAGCAACCTGAACCCTGGAACCTGAACCCCTCTAGCTCCCGAGACTCCTTCCCGAAAGCCCTTCAGCCTCCCCAAAAAGAAACAAACCCATAAATCCTGAGGCCTTGACCTTTCAAAGCCCCGCAAACCAACAAGCCCATAAAATC